TTTGGTAGAGATTAAGTGAATTAAATCAAAACAACAAAAAAAAACACAAATTTTTTTATTTTGATTATGTAAATAAATAATAGACGGTCATATGACCGCAGTATGGTATCACAATTATATGATAAAATTTTTTTAAATTGCATTTATAAAGGTGTCCGGAAACTTTTGTCCACCCTCTGTATAAAAAAATATTACCTAAGTTATACAGATTAGAGTACAGCTTGTTAGTTTTGTGTTCAGCCTCAAAAAGAAAAGCAAATCATGTATAAACTTGGCAGGTAATTTTACTATCAACCTCATTATAAGTATTTGTGTAGCAGGTCATTCTACTACGCTTGTGAGAGCTAGATCTATGTTAAGAGTAGTTCATTCTGATCCTAATTTAACAACTTCTATGACACAGATGGTAACTCAGACAAAATCATTCAGACTCAGCAGGTAATTCCACCATCAACCTCATTTATAAGTATTTATGAAGCAGGTCATTCCACTATACTTGTGAGGGCTAAGCCAATGTTAAGAGCAGGGCATTCCGCTCCTGAGTTTAGCTGAGCACCAAAAGCAATAAAATAAGCAAAAATCTATGCCACGTAATATTTAATAAGACACGTTTAGGAAATCTTAACCAGAGACCTAGAAAAATTCTAATATCAAATCGTAAATTTTTATCACGATAATAGCAAAAATTCCGATTTTATTCTGATAAAAAAATTGTTTTATTTATTATTATTTTGATCATAGTAAGATATTTAAGTGATTCTGGACTTAAATTTTGCCTATCATCATCTTATACGTGAAAAAACTCCTTTTTACTGCACAAGAAGAGATTGGTAACCATATATAATTACGTGCTATTTTTTCTAAAAGAGGAAGTTGTAATGTAACTTTATCCCAAAATTCGTTTAGTTCAGAAAATTTAATAAGATTTAAATTAATATTAATATAAATTGACCATTCTTAAATAAGATATACCGATGGATTAACTAATTCTCTAATAATTTGATAGGAATAGATATCTTGATTAGCAGTTATTAAAGATAAATATTGTGGATTAAAGACTTAAACAGCCCTAAATAATGAACGCGCAGGATGTTGTAATATATGATCTTCAAGTTTTTTGTAAGCTGCATGATACGCTT